TTCATTTGCTTTTTCCCAAACTTGTAGCTCAAGGCAACACTAAAGCAGTGGAGGTCGGGCTAGAGGAAGAAGCTGTATGTGCATTTGTCTTCCAAGAGGTTGCGGTCGAGGCAGAGAGACAAGGCGCGGAAGAGGGTAAAGATGTATCTAAGGTGCTTAGAGACTCGGAGGGCGAGGTTGAGCTCGTGGTGGAGACTCAGGCAACATGGAGGACAAGGGCGATGGTAGTAGAATCTTCAGAGTCTGGGCCCGAACAGCGACCTCGAGCTCAACTCTCCATACCTGGTCTGCAAGCAACTCCTACCAAAAAGAGGACTAAAGCTCAGACTTCTAAAGCCTCAAAATCTTCTAAGTCTTCCACCGCTCCTCCAATCGAAATGGGCAGAGCGAAACAGAAGGCTTCCAGTGAGTGAATTTTGTTCCAACCTTCATTTCTTAATTGCACTTTTATATTGCGGGCTAAAAACTCTATTTTCTTCAAAACTAGGGCCTCAAGCAACCAAGAAGCCCATTTTTGTGCTGAGGGAAAAGCCATTAGGTGCAGAAATACATTAGAAGGCCAAGGATCTTCTTGATACCACTCCTGAAGAACTGGAGGTATGATCTGTGTCTTAAGTCACTTCTTTGAAGTCTTCCCTTCTCTCATTTTTTTTATTAATTCTCTGCCCGACTACCTGAAACATGTCATAAGGGAAGAAAGGATCTCTCCGCCCAAGGCTTCTTCACCTCCAGCCCGAACGACGCATGCTTTTCCTTCTCGGGCTAGATCTTCAAAGGTATATCTCTTCTTCACTCTTTTAACCTTGTATTTTTATCACTTTTAGAGCTTTAATACCTGACTTTCAGTTTTTTAGCTAAGGTTGGAGCAGTTGCACCCTTAGTCGGGCAAAGTTCTACTTCTATTCCATCAACTTCTCCTCCTTTGATGGTGGCTCTTACATCCCAGTTTGACCCAAGAACTGGGGAAATGCTTCATTTTGTGGAAGACAACAGTAACTCAGTGAGCATTTTCCCTTAACACTTTTATGTTTGAAATCCTCCTCATTCTATACTCATTTTCTCTTGTTTTTTTCCCAGTCTTGCACAAGAGTTTCATCTATTAGCAACATCTGTATTTGGGGAGCCTATAGTCCCTGAGATCCCTGTGGTCTCAGAGGTAACTAGCCCGCAGGCTTCCCCTCAAACAACAGCAACTATAGAGGAGCTTCCTCTTCCCATTCAAGATCCTGCTCAGGTATAGAAGTAACTTTACCTCTATTTTCCTTTCTCCATAACTTAGTTACTAACATTTGCCCTTTATCCTTGATATTTATAGGCCTTTGGTGAGGGTTTGGGCACAATTCCTCCTTCTCCAATAAGTGGGAATGATCCCCCCTAAGCTATTAAGGGAAACAACTCCTCCTCCACCTCCTTCCAAGGCTTCAGGCTCCAGGCTCCACTAAGGTATATTATCTTCTCTAATCTTGTCTTCTTTCTTTTTAAAATGTAGTCTTTTTCTTAAGATTTTGTACTTGTTACTTCTTATAACAACTTCTCTTATTTCAGCTTTGTAAACTACTCTTTACTTCTTTGAGTTAGTATCTGACTTATGCGTTTGAGGATTTATATACCATTTCAGATGTCACTTTGTTTATGTTATAAACTAAAATAGAAATGAACGAAGTTACCCGAAAAATGTAGAAGCCTTGAGTGGTGAATGATTCTTGGGATGAGTCGCGGACTAAGTTGCTATCTTTAAGACGTTTCACGGCTCTGCCCAAAGTGTGCAAGCAGTTCACAAACACCACGTTGTCCCCAGGATAAAACAGCCCAGAACCTCTTCTTCTGATAAAGTTCTTCCTTGCACAGTGGAAGAACCTTCGAACTTACACCCTCTCAATATGTTGCTTTTAAATCAATATATGTAAAACTTTTTTTTCTTGTTTTTACTTCTAATCCGCATGACCCAAAATTACACATATATATATATATATATATATATATGTTGGTGGATACCAGTATATATATATATATGTTGGTGTATATACTGATATCCGTTGAGATGGCGATTTTTATAAAAATCATGATTGCAAGTGTGTACGTATGTATATATTATAATAATGAAAGATATGTTGAGATCGCAAACTGTAGGAATCAATGCAATTGAAAGCCAAAATGCCAGGAATCATGGTAATCAAAACGGACAAAAAATCATAACGAGACAAAACGTAGTCAATTCAAACTGAAAAAGAAAACAAAACAGTTTGAAAATTAACATTGGTAATAAAGAAAAATATTATGTATATAATATTGGTAATAAAACAAAATATAAATATATTTAAATATTTAAATAAAAACGTAACTGCTCCAACAATTTACTACAAGAAAAGCACCCTTTAACATCACGAGATGGGTGTTGTCAAAACATGTAGTAGGAAATAGTTTTTAACAACATGAGCAAGATGTCGTTACAAAAGTGACAACATGGAGTCGAAGTAAAAAGAGACTGCATGCTGTGTATGTTGTAAAACTGAGAAAATTTGAAGCATGTGTGATCGCATTGTTTGTAACCATATTCGTTTGGCAGCTGATGTTTACTTTGACAACATCTTTTGTATGTCACTCTACACCGGGGAACTCAATACTCGTTCAACTTTGGTGAGATTTATATCTATTATGTCAGAGGTGTTAATGTAGACATCGAAATTTCGGTGAAATAAATGTTGACCAATAGTTACAATTTCAACGCTCACGTGTTACATAAATTTTACACATAGCGTGTGACTAAACGAAAAATCAAAATAAATCGGAAAAGTCATCAAATAGGACACATGTCAACACCTGGCAGAAACGATTTATTCCATCTGCATATTATATTCAAAATTAGGCCTTGGAAAATTCTATAAATAGGAAGCCAATGCATTCATTTGGGGGGAATTCATAACCAATTCATAACCAATTCGGGACAAATTCATAACCAATTCACATTACACCAAAACCCTGAAGCTCTGAAACTCTAAAACTCCCAAGCAAATCCCGAAGGATCAAGAAAGCTCTCTTCGTTCTTCGTCAACTCAACCTTCAAGATCAAGCCCCAACGGCCCTTCGAAGGAACTTCCACCAATTCAAGATCAAGCCCCAACGGTCCTTGAAGAAAGTGTTCATCGTTCATCATCCGTACATCCTAAGATCAAGCCCCAACGGCCCTTTGGATCAACAACATTAACAAATCCACACATCCAACCGTTCTTCAAGATAAAGCCCAAAAGCCCTTAAAAATCCATTCATCAACTGTTCATCAAGATCAAGCCTCAAAGGCTCCTTGAAGATCGGTTCATCAACAGTTCTTCAAGATCAAGCCCAAAAGCCCTTGAAAGATCCGTTCATCCATCAACCTTCAAGATCAAGCCTAAAAAGCCCATTTGAAGAAACTTCCAACCATTCATTCGAGATCAAGCCTCGACGGCCCTTGGATCAGCATCACAATCCACAAATTAACACCTTACGGAGATCAAATCAGAGGATCAAATTTGAGAGAGATTGAACCCAAAATCATTAATACAAATATTATTTTGTACACGTGTTCTTGTCTCGTTTGTTTACAAATTTGGCACGCCCGGTGGGATCATCTCTACCTCTCATCTCTTTGTCCGTTTAAGGAATCCAAACACACCTCAAAGTCAATGGCATCAAGCAAGGGACAAGCCATTCCAACCACCAAGGGAAGGATCCTGAGCACTTCTGCCGTGAACGGACAATCCATTGGCGCCACAATCGCTCCTCAACATGCCACTTTAAAGTTGGTGCTACTAAAGGAGCAAGGGGAGCATCAAAAGCGTGAGTCTGTCATCAACCTGACCTCCCTGGAGGCACCGAAGCATACTGCTAAGGCACACAAGATGACATCCCAAAGCAGCCAACGACGTTCTTCGTCAGCATCCTGGATGTCTAAAGGAAAGTCACGTATATTGGTTGCACAAGTCATGACCATCGGCGTTACTTCTGTTGAAGAACAACTGGCTCAAATGAATGAAGCGATCGCAAGGTTAACACAGATTGTGGAAGAAAAAGACTTGCAAATCGCTGCACTCGTCAGCCGACTGGAGCCACAGGATGGCGAGAACCCTGACCCAGAGGATGATCCACTAAAGAAAGGAGTTGGCGAAGAAGAGGAGCCTCCGGTGGATAAAGTCGATGTGAAGCCGAAGCCAGACCAAACAGCGGCACTCATGGGATCTCTTTCTATCTAGCAGCTGCAAGAGATGATCACCAACACCATCAAGGCACAGTACGAAGGGAGCTCACATACCTCATTGTTCTACTCGAAGCCATACTCCAAGAAGATTGATGCCCTGAAGATGCCAATGGGTTATCAACCACCAAAGTTCATGCAGTTTGATGGAAAAGGAAACCCAAAGCAACACGTTGCACATTTCGTCGAAACTTGCAACAACGCGGGAACGGAGGGAGACTACCTCGCCAAGCAGTTTGTGCGCTCGCTAAAAGGAAACGCCTTTGAGTGGTACACAGACCTAGAGCCTGAGTTCATCAACAACTAGGAGCAATTAGAAAGAGAATTCCTTAACTACTTCTACAACACCCGCCGCACTGTAAGCATGCTGGAGTTGACAAGTACGAAGCAATGGAAAGATGAGCCAGTCGTAGACTACATCAAACGATGGCGCACTCTAAGTCTTGATTGCAAAGACATACTTTCGGAGACCTCATCGATCGAGATGTGTGTTCAAGGCATGCAGTGGGGATTACACTACATCCTTCAAGGCATCAAACCACGGACCTTTGAGGAGTTAGCCACCCCCGCCCATGACATGGAGTTGAGCATCGCCCATCATGGGAAGAAATAACCGATTGCCGACTACAAGAACGACAAAGCTCTTGGGATAAAGGTGAAAAATGCTGCGTGGAAATCCACCAAGGAAGCAATGTCGGTCAACACAGCTCCCGTCAAAATCTCTACACGAGGCAAGGCGATTCAAGCCGAAGCTTTTCGTAATCAAGAGATGCATAGACGTACTTTGAAGGAGCTCGAGGAAAAGACTTATCCATTCCTCGACTCTGATGTGGTTGCCATGTTGAAAGACTTGCTTGACAAAAAGGTGATCGACCTACCTGAGTGCAGATGGCCGAAAGAGATGAATCGTACTGATAGTCCAAGGTACTGTAAATTTCACTGTTTCATTAGTCATCCAACGGAAAAGTGCTTCGTACTAAAAGATCTCATCCTGAAGTTAGCACAACAAGGGAAAATCGAGCTTGACCTCGAAGACACGGTTGCGGCACACACTACTACTATCGTATTTGGATCACTCGATCCTGTGCATCTCCGAAGAATGCATGACCATTCCCGTCAATGTTCAAGTCACATGGCACCTCCTACACAACCATCACCGAGGGCAACCAACCAAGATGCATCTACTGGTGATAAGGAATGGTGGACATTGGCGACTTATAAAAAAACGAGGAAGCTAAGACCACAAGCCACAAGGCCAAAAGATGAGCCTAAACCCGCCCCTCGAACTTCAGTCTTCGACAGGCTGAATCATTCAAAACCTAGAATTTCGGCATCAAAAGGCTTAAGACGCTAACATTGCAAAGATCTGTCTTTGAAAGGTTATCAAAACCCAAGAAACAAAGCAGCACAGCTAGATCTCCTCCGCAACGGTCGGCTGCAGACAGACTTGAAGAAACTAAGAAGCCTTCTAGAAACAGAAAGACAACGCCAAAGGAAGAAAAGCTCGACAGTCTAGCAGGAAAAGACGATGTTCAAAGCTTGATTCCTTCAAGGATGAAGCGCCAAGCAACTTTGGAAGTAGACACAAAAGGACCACTAAAGGTAGGAAGGCGCACCATCATCTACACCGGCTAATCTTCACGCCAATAAACCCAAGAGGACCGCATTGAAGAGGAGGCCCAAGAAGACAAAGAAGACGAAATCCTGGAAGAAGACGTCACTTCCGGCTCTGTCAACTTAAAATCTTCATCTCAATCGCTAGGGGCATGCTCCAAAACCATGCCAATCAAGCCGAGTGAAGTTGAAGGATGGACTCATGTCACTCCGAAGAAATTGCACAAGAAGCATATGTTTTCTCCACAAGTGCACCAATCGGAAAGGGGGCAAAGCAGCTTTCGCCAACCTCCAAAGCAATGTGAAAGTGTTGAAGATGAGGAAATTTCGACACAAAGATCGACCATGTGCGATCTCTCATTCCTCAGAAAATTATTCAGCTACTCGGTTAAGGCTCATTGCTATAAAGATTGCGAGGAATGCTTTTCTAGGCAGCAACCATCTCTTCCACAAGTTCACCAATGGGAAAGGGGGCAAAGTAGCTCCTGTCAACCTCCAGAACAATGTGAAAAGTGGTGGAGATAATGAAACTTTGACACGAAGATCATCCATCCCCATCACGATGCATGACATCTTCCCAGAAGACTTCTTCAACTACTCAGTCAAGGCTCCTTGCTATGAAGATTGCTAGGAACGAATCTCCCGGATCACTTGACGAACCAACAAAGCTTCTCGACTGCACGACGCCACGCTCCTGGTATGCATGAGCATAAAAGGCAACACCAACACTCATTGCCTGCATGAGTTAAAACTGCAAATGGCACAAAAAGAAAATACCAAAAAAATATGTATGTATTCGAACTACGTTTTGACTTGATCTCTTTCTTTGGAAGGGTATATAGGCAGCTTAAACATTCAACTTCAAGTTCAGTCACATAAAAAAAAAAGAAAAAAAAAGAGAGGTTTTATTAAATGTTTGACTATTAAGAGTCAATTTTATTATAAATATTCTTTGTATATATATAAACATACATACATATATATGTATGTATATAATATGTAAACAGCCTTCATTGAGTGGTCGACATCAAGTTTGGCTCTATCTCAATGAGCCCAGCGAGCACACAACTACAACCCTCCTCGGCAATTACCAACTGGGCCAGCTGTTGGGTCGAGGCAACTTCGCTAAGATCTACAAAGCCCAATCCGTCATCACACTCACATGGCCGTCATTCCCCTTGGGACTGCTATGCCCTCCACCTCATCCGCTTCACCCTTAAGTACCTGTTCACCTCTCCACCTTAAACCCGTCTCTGCCATATGCTCCACGACCTCGCCTCGCACACTTAGATCAATATTCACTCTCGGCCAGCGATCATATCCATTTTCTCTTGGTCAACAATTCATGTCGTCTCCACACCAGCTCTGCATCCTCTTCGTCTCCACCGATGGAGATATTTGCAAGTAGCAACCGTCGATCAATGCTAACGTCAAAAAGCCCAGCCACGAACAGCAGACGATGTCGTCTTCTCCGCCATCCTTAACGCCTCCATTCTTTTCAACTCTGGTGGCACCTGCTCCGTTTTGGACCATTTTCATCTCCAAGCTCTCCTTGTCTACGACATAATTAAGTAACCAACTTTTGAGAATGACCAAAGGTGACTCTATGAGTTAAGGGACCATGCAGATTCGACATGGTTATCATGATGACAGGAAACAAGTTTGACTTGAATCATCTAAGAACTAGTTCAGAGGACGATGGTCAGCCATTGATCGAGAGGGAAGGTCTTTCATTTCTCGAGACATCTGCACTGGAAGCAACCAACATCAACGAGCTTAAGTTGAAGTTGCAAACGGTAAAGATGGATAAAAGAGAAGTTGCAGAAGCAATTGGAGTCGATGAACCAGGACCTGCAAGCTGGGAATAAGACAGGTAGAGGCTTCATCAAGGCAGTGCCTCTCTCGGTGCTCACTGAAATGACCTGCAGTTTCATAGCTCCAGAGCCCTCACAGCGTCATTGCTTCTTCGTTTCACCTCTGTCTTCCTCCTCCGCCATGGCTACTGCCTAAAGCTCTCCTCCGAGCTCAGCGACAACACCAAGAAGGTTGTACTCCTCTGGATGCATGACTCTTTTCCATTCTGAAAAATAATAATTAAAAAAAAAAGGGGCCAAAGTTTCTGGAGGTGCATGTGCACCATTCTGAAAAGAAAAAAAAATAATATAAAAAAAAAGAAGGTGGAATCTTGGTGGATCAGCACCACCAAAAGAATATATATATATATATATATATATATATAATATAATATAAAGTGTTTTGGGTGGTGGATCAACACCATTTTGAAAAGAAAAAAAATATATATAATAAAAAATATTTGATCTTTGGTACGTCTAGCACCATGATTAAAGGCAATATATATATATATATATATAATAAAAAAATGTTTGATCTTTGGTGCGTTGGCACCATGATTAAAGGCAAAAAAAAAAATGTTTGATCTTTGGTGCTGAAACCATGTGGAAAAAATGGGTGCACCATGATTAAAGGCAAAATATATGTATGTATCTATATATATATATATATAATGGATGGTGCATCTGACACCATGTGCAAGAAAAGAAAAGAATATATATATAGAATGAAAAAAGCCTCATTTATTGATTTCTCTGAAAATTTACAGAAATGTACATTTTACATCAGTCAAAAAAAAAAAAAAAAAAAAAGAGCAAACAGGAGGGAGCCTTCACGAAGGTTGCTCGTGTGAAGCCTCATCACTCGGCGGAACTCCAGGCAGAAGAGGAGTCGGAGGTTGATCATTTGGAGCTTCATTACGCGGTACAGCCCCAGAAGACGAAGACAATTGTTACCTTCACTGCCCACTACAGTACTTATATATTAAGTAAAAGCCAACTTAGTCACTCTCAGTTTGAGGATGAAAAGAGCTTTAAAATCATTCAATTACATTCCAAAAATGGGTTTGGACTGAATTTTACGTAATTTAAGTTGAGAAAAGTTTGTTTTATGTAAGGCCAGATTTTTATTTTTTAATTTGTTAACAAGTTAGACATTTAAATATTACTAATTTCATCAGTAACAATATAAATTAATAATTTGGTATACAAAAAGATGATAAAAATTAAGAATTCAGAAGATTCCACTAAATATTGGCATGGAGATTTTCCATATGTTTGAATGAATAATTTAGGAGTTGTTTGATAACCATTTTACTTTCTGTTTTAAGTTCTTTTTTTTTTTGTGTAAATTGAAAACCGAAAACTGAAATCTGATTTGGTAACTACTTTCAACTTTTTTAGTTTTATAAAAAAGGAAATTAAAAATCAAAAAGTGAAAACTCAAGGTTAAATTTTGAAAACTCAAGAAAATAGTTTTCAGTTTTTTTATTTCAATTTTCAGTTTTCAAAAAACTGAAAATTGAAAAGAGTTACCAAACAAAATTCAAGTGATAAAAGGTGAAAATAAAAATTGAAAACCGAAAACGAGTGATTATCAACAGGCTCTTAAAGTTTCATGAAATTTAGATAGATTTGGGAAAAATATGACATAGATGAATGTCCCTTGTTTAGTGTTTACAGTGCATTTGTGCCGTTCGAATAGTAGCTTTGTAGTCTTAAAATAGTGTGTTATTACTATCTTCGTAGTGGATTTTATTTTTTTATATTTTTATTTTTTTGGGTGAAGCTTCGTAGTGTATTCTTAACGATTGGATCATTAAGATGGGTACAGCCCATGTTAGCTCTTGCTGTTCTTCTGGAACGGTCTTTTCTCCCTCCTAACGATGGGAAGACTGTCTCATCAAAGTGATAATCCGCAAAACGAACTATAAACATATCACCTGTCAAGGGTTCCAAATATCTAATGATAGATGGTGAATCAAAACCCACATAAATTCCCAATCTGCGCTGAGGTCTCATTGTTTGTTAGTTGTTTCAGGCAATTTAAGTCCTTTTGGACCTTCATATGTATGACAATATCTAATTCTCCATATAGATACGCAGTGATGACATCCATAAGTCGCATGTCAAGTTTTTCTGAAACCACCAAACCTATTAAGTAACGAAATGTAATTACGTCCATTACAGGAGAGTATGTCTCTTCATAATCAATTCCAGGTCTTTGTGAAAAACCTTGTGCAATAAGTCGTGCTTTATATCTTGTAATCCCATTTGTCTCATTATGCTTTCTTGTGAATACCCATTTGTAACCCACGGGGTTTACACCAGGCAGGGTTTAGACTACCGGTCCAAAAACACTTCACCTAAGGAATTTAATTCTGCCTAGATTGCATCTTTGCACTTAGGCCATTCTTGTCTCTGCTTTCATTCATCAACAGAGCGGGGCTCAATATCATTGCTTAATATGATTTCAGTGATTATTGCGAATGCGAACAAGTTGTCGATGATTATTTCATTTTGATCCCACAATTCATTAATACATGCATAATTTATGGAGATTTCTTTGCTTTTATGTATTTCTGTCCCTTTAGGAACATGTGTCTCATCAAGGACATTTTTTTTTTCTGGAAGTGCAGGATCATGAATTGTAGATTTGTCATTCATTTTCTTTTCTTGAATGATTTCATTTGGATTCAACTGTGCCTTCATCTTTCTCTTTCGAGAGGCTGGATTTTTTGAACCTGGGGGTCTATCATGCTTCAGGCGTGCACCGGATGAATCATTCACTGCCATTTTATTTTGTCCAATAGGGATATCAATTCTTGCAGGCACATTTGGAGCTGATTATGTGATTTTGTCACTTTTGTATCATCATTAAATGCATCTGCCATTTGATTAGCAATTCTTTGAAGATGAACGATCATTTTCACTTCATTTTCACATTGAGTGCTTCATGGATCAAAATGAGATAAGATGGGTACAACCCATGTTAGCTCTTGCCGTTCTTCTGGAACGGTCTTTTCTCCCCCCTAACGATGGGAAGACTGTTTCATCAAAGTGATAATCCGCAAAACGAACTATAAACATATCACCTGTCAAGGGTTCCAAATATCTAATGATAGATGGTGAATCAAAACCCATATAAATTCCCAATCTGCGCTGAGGTCCTATTTTAGTGCACTGTGATGGTGCAATAGACACATAAACAACATAACCAAAAACTCGTAAATGTGAAATGTTTGGCTGATGCCCAAACATGAGTTGTATTGAGTAGTATTAGTGGTTGGGTATAGGTCTCAATTGAACCAATGATGCAGCATGTAAAAATGGCACGTCTCCATGCAGAAACTGGCAATTTTGTTTTCATGAGCAAAGTGTTAGTTATTAATTGAAGTCGCTTGATAAATTCTTCTTCTAAACCATTTTAAGTATGGACATGAGGAACAGGGTGTTCTGAAGGGAAATAATGAGATTTATGTGGGATTTCTAGTGACTATCATGCATATACAATTCAAGATTTATATACATTTGCAACGGAAGCATGGTATCACATAATATCAAAGCTTTAGTGATGCAAATCCCCTTCAAGAAGCATAGGTTCATATATGATGCATCTAAGAAAATATTGAAGAACAAAGTGAAGGTATAGTTTTATACCTCTTGATCTAGACTTGAGACCAAGGATGGCCACCTCCAAGCTCTTTGTTCTTGGAACTCCTTGAGTCTAGCCTCTTTCCTAGCTTCCTCCACCTTGAAAGATTTAGAGCTCCTTTCTCCTTTAGTCTCCAAAGTAGAAGACCTCTAAAGATCCACACCCACTAGTGTAGTGAGATGGATAATGGAATAACCAAAAGGAGAAGAGATGATTAGCTTTCCCTCCTCTTGGTGGCCGGCTATATGTGTGTAGAGAGAGAGACTTGGTTTTCTCTTTTGTGAAAAGAACACACAAAAACCCTAATGAAACTTTTTCACTAAACTTCCTTTTTAAATGTCAAAGAAGTGAGTCAACCACTTGACTCCCTCTCTCTCCTTTCACTTGTATTGGCCGGCCCCTTAGTGTGGGTTTGGACTTTGGGCTTTCATCATTTCAAGTCATTCTATGCTTGAATAAAAGAACCCAATTTGTTTGGGCCCAATGGGCCCGAATGAACCCGAGCTTTTCTTTAAGTCCTAAACGATCTTTTATTGTTTATATGATTTCTTTAGACTTTCTAATTAATCATAACACTTAATTAATCCAATTAATTAATTCCATCATCCATTAGTTGTCTCACCACAAGAGTGTATCGGTGTACAATCGTTTTAGGTTCTAATTAGCAAGGCAGTAAGGTGATTGGTACCAATCCAAATGATTAGTATTTATCCAATCACTTAGTGAATTAAAACTTACTTTTAATTCTCCTTCTTCTTTGATGACTACTTATTTAATCATCTAGAAGAACCCACAAGCCATGAGTGACATCTAATCATATATCATGGCTACCCAAGCTAATGTAGAATTTGTTCGGAGAACCTATTCAGTTGGAATTACAATGTAATTCGATCTTTCTCTAATACAATACTCACAATCACATTATTAGGGTATGGATATTTAATGTCAAACCCCTAATGTGATTATATCAAGTTATATGATTCTATTGAGTTGTATAGGAACGCTTTCCATCATTATGCTCGATACTTCGGTCGAAGATTCCTGAATCATATCTTAGAGTATTCATCCTCTCATAACGAGGATTAGAGATCCCTTGTTGATCATTCACATGCCTCTGAGAATAAATCATTGACCCCAACAATGCATAGAACACATCCAAGATGAGATGTGGTCACATGTCATTATCAAATGATAAGCAATGTATCCCCAAGACAACTATGATGTCTCAAGTCAAAGGATTACTTACATTATTCCAACCAGTAGAGTTACTTGCTTGACATGTGAGTAGACCTCCATGCAAGTACTCTTGTTTGATTGTGTTCAGTGAACTCATTCCCATAATGAGCACCTACATACTTGTCTT